GTGCAGAGCCCAGTCCAGTCCCCCTCCTCCTTCCTCTCCTCCTCCCCTCCTCGCATGTTCCTCCTCGCACCCTCCTGCGCCTCCTCGCATCTCCTCCTCCTCATCCATCTCCTCCTTATCCGCCTTATCCTCCTTCTCCTTCCGCTTTCCGCCTCATCCTCCTCATCTTGCCTCCTCCTCATCCTCTTTTTCCTCCGTCTCCTCACCCTCGTCCTCCTCCTCCTCCTCCTTCTCCTCATCATCATCCGCCTCCTCTTGCTTCCGCCTCTTCCTCCTCCTCCTCCTCCCCGCATCCCCCCGCATCGCATATCGTTATCATCCTCATCCGCCTCATCGTTCTCCCCGTCACCCTCATCTTCCTCCTCCTAATCTTCCGCTTCCGCCTCCTCCGCCTTCCGTCTCGTCCTCCTCCCCTTCATCAACATCAGCAGCAGTAGCAACATCCTCATCAGTATCATCATCACCATGATCATCAGCAGCAACCGCATCATCATCATCATCATCATCATCATCATCAGCATCATCATCATCATCAGCATCATCATAATCATAATCATCATCAGCATCAGCATCAGCATCAGCAGCATCATCAGCATCATCAGCATCATCAGCATCATCATCATCTTCAGCATCATCATCATCATCATCGTCATCATCATCATCATCATCATCATCATCATCATCATTCGATTCATCCCCCTTCCGCCTCCTCATCCTACTCTTCCGCCTCTTCCTGCTTACGCCTGCTCCTCATCCGCATTCTCATCCTCCTCGTCATCTTCCCCGCGTCTCCCACCATCTCATATCCTCCTCCTCATCCGCCTGCTCCTTCTCCCGCCTCCTCCTCATCATTATTCCGCCTCCTCTTCCCCTTCCTCCTCTTCTTCCTCCCCCGTTTCCTCCTCCGCCTCCTCATCATCATCAGTCCGTCTCTTTGTTTCTCTTCCTCTTCATCATCCGATCCCTTTTTCTCATGCTCCCTATCCTCTTGCTCATCCCCGCATCCCCCCTCCTCGCCTATCCGTCTCATCCGCCGTTTCCTCCGTCCGACTCCTCTTCTTCTTCGTTCTCCGCATCAGCATCAGCATCATCCTCCTCCTCAGCCGCCTCCTTCTCCTTCCGCCTCCTCTTCCTGCTCCTCATCAGCATCAGCATCGTCCTCATCCGCCACGTTCCTCCTTTCCGCAGCTCCCCCCTCTCATATCCTCCTCCTCATCCGACTCATTATCGTTCCGCTTTCTCCTCTCATTCCTCCTCTTCCTATTCCTCATCCTCCTCCTCATCCTCCCCGAATCTCCCCCCTTGCATATCCTCCTCCTCCTCATTCCGCCTCCTCCTCATCATTCCGCCTCCTCTTCCTCCTCGTCCTCTTCCGTTCCCTCCTTCTCATTATCATCAGTCTCATCATCAGCAGCATCATCAGCATCAGCAGCATCAGCATTGCAATCACCAGTAACAGCATCCTCAACAGCATCATCACAATCATCAGCAGCATCAACATCATCATCAGCATCAACATCAGCATCACCATCATCAGCATCATCACCATCCACACAGGCATCATCATCATCAGCATCATCATCATCTTCAGCAGCATCCCCATCATCATCAGCATCATCATCATCATCAGCATATGTATCATCATCATCATCATCGTCATCATCATCATCATCAGCATCATCGTCATCATCATCATCCGTCTCCTCCTCATCCTTCCGCACCCTCCTCCTCATCATTCCGCCTCCTCCTCGTCCTCGTCTTTCTCCTTTTCAGCATGCCCCCCCCCCCACCTCGCTTGTCCTCTTCCTCTTCATCCGCCGTCTCTTCCTCCTCCCGCCTTCTCCTCATCCTCCTCGCCCATCGCATCCGTCCGCTTCCGCCTTCGCCTCTTCATATCCCTCGTCCTTACCCTCTTTCCGCTTCATCCTCCTCCTCATCCTCTCCCTCCTCTTCCACATCAGCATCAGCATCATCATCATCATCATCATCATCATCATCATCATCATTATCATTATCATCATCATTATCAGCGACATCACCATCATCATCATCATCAGCCTCATCAGCAGCATCATCATTATTATCATCACCATCGTCAGCGTCATCATCATCATCAGCAGCATCATTAACATAACCAACATCAGCATCATCATCATCCACATCAGCATCATCACCCTCATCATCATCACCACCAGCACCATCAGCATCACCATCATCATCAGTATCAGCATCAGCATCATCATTATCACCATCACCAGCATCATCATCATCATCAGCATCGTCATTATTATTAGTATTATCATCATCATCATCATCCTCATCCTCATCCTCATCATCATCCGTATCACCATCATCAGCAGCACCATCATCCGCCTCATCCTCCTTCCGCCTCCACCTCCTCCGTCCTCCTTCTCATTCTCCTCGTCCTCCTCCTTCCAGTACCTCTTCCCCTCGCAGACTTTATCTTCTTGATCCGCCTTCTCCTTCTCGTCCTCCTCCCACCGTTTCCTCCTCATCCTCCTCGTCCGCCTCGTCCGCCTTATCATCCTTCCTCCCCATCCTCCTCCTCGTCCTCCTCCTTCCGCCTCCTCC